CCCAAAGCACGTTGAATCTTATAGGAGAAATCAAAAAGTGAAAAATTTGCATTAACAGTTTTTTAGAGGAGATAATTAAAAATTTTTTAATTTTTATAAGTAATAGATTTTTCAGGATTCAATAAATTAAAGCTTCACTCTTTATATGACGAAGCTGAAAGAACAGATTGATATTTCAGGATGATGGGGAGACAGAAACATATATAATATACTGTTACATATTTAAAGAAATATATATTTTCAATTTGATTCTTTTATCATTGAATCAATTTTTATTTTTTTCATTTTTTGCTATAATTTTATTCTTCTTTTATTTCCCTATTTATCGGCAATATAAAAATACTGTACATTAAAAATGCGAAGGCGCTTGGATAAATAAGCAAAATACGGATAACATCGATGAGTCGAAGGAATGATTATTGAGATTCCCTTAAACAATGATAAAGAAGGCCATAGAATCACGGTTATAAGAGTGCAAAAATTATTAACTATTTTCTGTTAATACACAAAGACCGTTTCGATTTATCAATCGTCGATCTTTATTCTATTAGCTGTTTGAGTTTGACCATTTTTTTTTTCTTTATATTTTTTTAGACTGAAAAGGATTTGAAATTATAATCAAAATGTCCTTTGTTTATTGATTAACAATCGTTAAATTCTTGCACTCGAACAATTACACTTGTGGTTCTTATTGCCTTCTTTTCTATTATTTGCCTTTGAAAACCTTTACAATATTAATATTTCGTCATTGAAAGCTCCGTTGAAACCTACGTGTCTATTTACAAAACGCTATTTACAAAAAGAGGCGGAAAATGTATGTTAACCAGATATGTATGTGTATATAAATGTATTATCTAATGATACACAACGACTGCGCTGTTCGCGCAGAGATGTTCTTTAAGATGAAGAATGAATAAATTATTACATTACTCGACCACCTGAGTTCAAGTTTTACTTATAAAATTCTATTTCATATATAAGCGTTCATATATTCGATATATATATAAAAATATATTCGAGAATGGAATCCCCTAAAAGACGGAATCCGTTTAGAACTTTTATCTTACATAGTTATACATCATCGTAAAAATATATTTATATATACATATATATAAAAATACATATAGGGTGTTTTATGAGAAATGCCTAATACTTTAAAAAGGTGTTTCTTAGGTCTAGTTTGGACTTGAAGAATAATCTCCTGAAATATCGAACATTCCTCAGGAAAAATCCTATAATAATATAAGGCAATACAACTTCGTTTTACTAAAAGTCATTTGCATATTACGAGGGTAAATAAAAAAATAAAGAAACATTTGAAGAATCGTACTCTTTAGAAAAAATTCCTTTACTTTTTGATTTTTTCTCGTGAAAGATGCAGTCACTTCTCGCGATTCTTTAGCGAGTCTTTATTCATGCACTTTGTACTTTTTATATCGTACATTGTGTGCAACATACATCTTTATACTTTGTAACATACATTAATTTATAACTGCAATCAATTTTAGACGATTTAAAACGCACGATCTAGAATTTAATATAGAATATAATGTTCGTATAATATTTATGTAAGATTAAAAAAAAAGTGTTGCTTTTGAATCCCGCAATCAAAGGATGAAATTGATAAGAATACGCGAGTTGCTCAAACAGCAAAGATTGTATAAACGCGATAAAAATTAAAAAACATTTATTATAAAATTTCTCTTTTTATATATATATAAATAATACGTATATTTTATTATATATTACATACATATTAATACATACATTTAGTTAATTTTTAATATAATCACCATAGTTGTCAATGCAATTACCGATGGCTTCATTTTTCATCAAACTTATTAGTAGCCAAATATGTTTTTTTAATAAAAAGAAACAAAAATTGCTTGAAGCAAGATCTTGACGTAATTTTAACCGCAATGGTTTTTGATCATTCTGCTTACAGAAGGCTACATACGGCAGAATTTGACATTACCAAAAAAATGTCATTATAGTGATTATAGTGATTATATTGAAAAATAACTAAACACGTGTATTAAGAAGAAACATTATCTTTACTTTGGAGACAACTCTCGCATGTTTTCGCGCGTACTTATTTTTTTATATTAAATTTTAGATGCAACTTAATGGTATCAATTACATTTTTGTTAATTAAATACTGAAATGTGAATACACGGTTTTGCCAGAATCATAACCGCTGATTGCTCGCTCGCTCGCCCGCGATTCAAATGTTTTCGCATTTAAATTATTTTTGAAGATATCATAATTGTATTAGAGGGATTGAAGGGAAGAAAGAGAGAACGCTTCTCTTGCGGATCGTCCTTGAATATATACGTTGCCGTTCGGCTTGTTGTCTAGGCCCACGCGAAGTGAAGCAGCTGTCACGGTCACTCTCGACATCTTTCTTTTGCCACCGCCTTTTTGGGCATACAGGGTGTCCGAATAAAATTTGGAGCATCTTATAGTTTTTATATAAATTAATAATTTTTTGCGAATATAATTATGCTATTAAAAATATCGAGGTAATTTTATGAACAAACATTATTGACATGAAATTTATGATTAAAACAACGCAAAATTAGGAACTCAAATTTGCAATAGCAACTAAATTTTTTCAAGAAATTCCCTCTTTTTGATCATCTGACAATTCTGATATTTTAATGATTGCATTTTTGATATTTTTTTGTTTCGATACTAGATAGTGTGAATCTAAGATTGCTTGTTTTTCTGCAATAAAGTGTTCCATCAGTTTTATTTCTGGATATTGGACATATATGTAATTTTGTTGTTTTAATTTTAAATTCCATCTAAATAGGGTTTACATTTAAAAATATCAGTATAATTGAAAAAATAATTATATTCTGTTTTATCTAAAAATTATAAGATATTCCAAACTTTTTAATAATTATTATATGTTGATCAATAGCACTTTTAATTGAAATCATCTAATGCCCGTGATTTTGAACGGCCACCCTGGGATAAATGCATCGCGCGAGCGCGGGGCAGAAGACAGATGCATCGGGTTTGTTTTTGTAGCGCGGCGCGGAACATCATCGGGAGGGTTCCCGAAAAGGCGGAGAGACGCCGAACGTTAGATGTGTCTTGGCTAATTGAATTCAAAGAGATTTATGGCCAGCAACGACGCGTTGCGCGACGAATAAAAAAAGGCGGGAGAGCGCGATTCTCTCCCGCTGTCGCGCGATTCCCTCGAGACTGTCGCCGGACGAAACGTTGATAAATGTTTTTACCGGGCCAATTAACGTTAGCGGAATAGCGAGGAAATTCGGACGGCGGCCGGTGCTAATCGCGCGAACTCCTGTGCTTGCGTCCGCTGGATCTCAGTTAATTGAACGCCTTCGTACGAGAGAAATGCACGAGTGCAACTCTGAAGTGCATAAATAATAACGATGAGGTAGTTGATATACGTATATTATGCAATATAGACGACAGAGTCGCGTAAAAGGGGAATAATTTATTCGCGAAATAGAAATTCATCTCTGTTTCGCGCAATTAAGACGCGGTGGATTTATGAAAATCTCGTTTTTTTTCCCCACATATATAATTATTTCGTTGAAAGTATCAATATTTTATGGATGCACATTATTGTGGATTAGAGATTAAATCAACAAACTTTTCGATACGCATTGCGAAAGTCCTGCCTTCGGCGACTCGCTACTCGCGCCGAATCGCGCGCGCCTCTTTTTCTTCTCCGCTCGTCCTCCCGCGCTTTTTTTCGCGAAGATTCACTGCCGTAATAAAGAGTCGTCGGGCTCTTTAACGCAGCGTGTCTTCGTTAAGCGGCTGAAAATGCGGCCGAAAGTTTGCTTTGACCGGTTTAAAATAAACTAACGCCATTCGGGAATATTATTCACGGCGGCGTGAGTACCGAAGTCGCGCGGCGACGGCTGTTGTTTTATACGCGTTACGCGATGAAGAAGCCGATGCGTGCGACTCCGTCTCGCAGCGACTGTCATCTCGGGTGAAAAAAATAATATTGTGCCCGACCGATAGGCGCCAAAATACTCGTTAATTTTTTTTATCCTCTCCCCGGCTCTCATTCCCTAAGAAGGTTGTTTCCTTAATCTTTCGACCGCCGTCAGCGCCTTTAGATAGCTTCGATAGATTCTCGCTCACTATCGGCGTCTTTAGACACGCCTTCATTTTTAATGCAAAAACACGAGAATCTTGTATATAGAAACGATTACTGGTTTAGTTCGCATGTACACAGTATGCACCTTGCTTTCGAGTGTCTCGAAATCAAAGGGTTAAGGCAGTTCCAAGTCCGACTATTATTAAATGGTTAGACATACTGGTTCTCTCCGACGAAATACATCGTATTCAAGCGAAATTACGTGAGTCAGAGGATCAATACAAGAGAACATTTCGGCCACAATTCTGAACTTTAACTTGAAGGAAGAACTTTAACTTGCAAAAAAAGATAGAAAAGAATCAAATTATATGGAGAATGCAAAAAAATATGAAAGCGATAAACTCATTAATTAATTGAATTTAATATTTTCTATATTTTTGTATATTTTCCAAACAATTTGAACCCTCTTATTTCTTTCTTTACATTTCCTCACGCTAAAAAAAATCCGACATTGTGGCCAAAATGTTCCTTGCATATTAATTGATAATAGATTCTTGCGCTTCAATAATCGCGCTTCTGATTTTTATTGCTTTCTTTGTCAATATTTATCTTTGAAGAACCATTATATAATATTAATATGTAGTAATCAATAGCTAATTAGTGACTCAAATTTATCAGACTGTACGATAACGTTACTGTATAAAATTGTACTGTATAAAACGTTACTGTAAAAAAAAATTTAGTGTAAAATTACACAATTAAGTATATAATTCTGAGACTAATAAAAGTGTCAATTTTCACACATATGTGAAGTTATAACTTGCAGATAAAAATAATTTTTAGTATTGTAATAAATCAGTCATTTACACAAATAAATTTACAGTTATTTTACGTATATATACGCGTAAAATATCTGTATATATATCTTTTTGCATAAAATATATATATGTGAATATATATATATTTCTTTACTGAAGACATCTCACGAGATGCCCTGTCATATCTTTATAATAGAATAAAAATATTTTGCGCGGCCAATTGAACAGCTCGGAACATGCTGTTCGACAATTAGCCGGACTAAAAGGATACGCTAAAAGGAAATGCAAAAATCCTCCAGTGATAATATATATCTAAATAAAATTGTCCTTTTTCATATATCATTGTTTCTCTAGTGACAATCCCAATAAAATTGTTCCTTTTCATATATAATTGTTTCTTTTGATATATAATTATTTCTTTTCATATATAATTGTTTCTCCAGTGACAATCCCAATAAAATTGTTTCTTTTCATATATAATTGTTTCTCCAGTGACAATTCCAATAAAATTGTTCCTTTTCATATATAATTGTTTCTCCAGTGACAATCCCGATAAAATTATTCCTTCTCATATACCCGAGATAAGCAGCCGAGTTATAAAATCTCCGAAATTCTCTTACTTTAGGAACCCGAGAAATTTTTATAACGTTTATATGTATTATGGTTTACTTCGAAGCGAGTAACACGAGACAAGTGCGATCGCACTCGCACCGGGATACCAATTTAATCCACGCGAACGGGAACAAAGATCCATCATGCCACGATCGTTTTTGCTGCCGCGCGACGAGATAATTTCGTTGATTAATGCAGGTGCGTAACGCGACGCTGGCTAATAAGCGCGCTTTACGCACATACGTTGTCGGCGACAACGACGCGGCCTTTGCTCGCCGCACACCGCGGCGAGTTGTCGCGCCGTTAATAGTCCGACGAGAAGACGGATAAATTATTGGCTTACATTATTGCGAGCGTGCGAGCGATGCCGCGGCGCGGAATTAACGGGGACAGAATTAACTGCCGTGATTAGATTTCAAAGGGCGGTAAAGCGAAACCGGAAGAGAAATGTGTAATTATATCGTGTGTGTGAGATCAATCCGCACTAGAATAGTTTCACGCGCCGCTAGTACTCATTTTCCAATGTTCGATCTCTGATAGAAATCTCTTTCGTTAGCTGACAGAGTGACTGCGGAGGCATGAACGAATGCATAACGCGATCCCTAAAATTATTTTGGTAATAGTGCTTTTTCAATTGCTTTCGCAAAACCTCGTATTTTCGCTCCACAAATCAATGGTCCAAATCTACTTTCGTAGCAAAATTTTATTTCACACTCATTCAATTTTATTTTGATACGAAAGTAATAGGTCTCGAAAAGACCAGCGAAAGATCGTAAATCAATATGTGCAATAAACGCAGAAACATCGAACAGAAAGACAGATTTGTTTTTATCAATATCGTTAAATAATATTGTTAATATCAATACATAGGATTGTGAATTGTCGAAATAACGACGATATATTCTGTATCGATTTTTTAAAGAAAAATATAGTTTTATTTTTTTTATAGCAATTGTTTTCTCAAACACAATTTGACGTAAAAATTTTATTTGTATTTTTGTTAAGCAAAGATATTTTGCAGTAAATTTCACAAAAAAATTTCGATCTTTCGTCGTTTTATCTTAAACATTATTACTGTTACTATTATAACAATATACTAGCTACTTATCTCCTAAGGATTTGGATACCAATCGCCTTCCATCCTCCAGACGCTAAAAGCATAAGACAATTTGTCGTGCGATATGTAATTAGAGGTCGTCGATGTAGCTTCTTTCGCGGCCTTAATCGCATCCCTGGAGCGATCCCTAAGTCCTAAACAGAAACAAATTTCTTTTTATTACCGTATGATCATATAATATTTTTCTCCAAATTATAAGTGAGAGATAAGAATGGCGCAATGAGTTCTGCATTGAGTTTTCTTATATATCTGAAAAATATAGTACAGTCAATAAAAAATTAATAATTGGTTTATATAAAAAACTTGTAAAAACTGACGAGTACTTATTTCAAAATTACCGAAAGTTTAATGAGAATTATATTCACTTTGTAAAATTGAGAAATTATTTATTTCGAAATCTCAATTGTTTCGTTTAATTTTATTTTGACGTGTTAATGAAACTTTCTTACACTCGTCAGAAAATTTCTTTTCTCGTAAAAAGATGTACATTATTTTTTCGATATTCCAATTTTTACTCTATTTTGGTAAAGAGATATAAGAGCGAAGAGTGAGAAGAAGAGCCGGCGAGAGAAACTGAACGGAAGGAGAGCTCGAGGAGTCGTTACACGATAATTCTGTCCGCGTATAATGCGAGATCCGAAATAAAAAGGAAGTGCATCGCGCGAGCCGAATAAAAGAAGTATGAACGGTATATATTTCCGTCTCTCGCGAATTCGTCGCAGAAGCGAATGGGAACGATCGGCGCCGGCTCCGGGCCGTCAGCGTATTGCGATATCGTTACTCGCGCAGAATTATCGGTGCATTCTCGGCATATACCGGGCGTTCTCAACTGATTCATACAAAACTATTTATACAGAACATTTCTAAAATGAGAAATCAAATTTTACAAGTACATTTTATTTTGCTCTTGATTTTAGAAACAGAAATTTTATTTGCTGCGTGATGGTCGACAATGGATTTTACCACGTAGACAAAATTTCGTTGTTATCGTTGAGGAAACATTTGATTTTCATTCCTTTCTCAATTTACATTGATTCCATTGATTGGAAGTTTAAACAAGCTAGTACAGCTCAACGCTCGCTCATACTTACTCAAAAGTGGAATATCCGTAAAATCGAGCGATAAAACTGCTATTAAGTATTGCGTTGTTTATTATTTTAGACATTAAAAATTCGGATCCGCGTGGGCCACGGGGGATTTATCTCTCACTGAGTTTACAAATATTATGAGAGCGATAAATGCGCGATATGAAGAGCGAGCGTCTCGCGCGGATCACTTATACGGGGACGCAAGTGTATACGTCGTCCAGGCTTATAGCGTGTAAATTACAGAAATCCGCCAGTAGGAGTCTGTTTAATTATGTTGCGCTGTAAACAAGCCTGGGCGACCCAACATGTGTAAACACGTGCCGCTCGGTGGAGAACGTGCCGACGGAGACGATCCTCGAGCGTCTCCTCAAACAATGTGCGGTGAAGTAAACTCGCAGCGTTCTCTCGCCGCAAGACGATCATTCAAATTATAGCAAAAAATGTCATCTTTCGTCTACATAATATAGTTTTTGAATTGAAAAATTGAAAAAAAAAATTTACTATCGGATTTTGACGCGAATGAGCTGCTTGATACTTTGCTTCGGAAGTAGCGAAATTGTAATTCTCGATACCTCGATATTTAATAGCGAAAGACAAATACTTAGCACGAGAGCATTTTCTTAAATTTTTTACAATTCAGTAACTATATATATTTGTGTTCTGCATTTACATAATATTTTATCTTCTATGGAATCCTGAAATACTGGAATCATAACGATAATTCGCTAGGGATTCACACCATCTCTTGTGAGCGATGGCGCAATTTTTATTATATGTCTTGAAAATGTAGACCAAGGTTTAATTATTGCAGATTTAATGGCGAATATGGTAAATGATATAGCAAAGAAAAAAGGTGCATTGAATACGTGCTAATGCGGCTAAGGATCGACAATTACAAGTTGAGCATTTTTAAGAGGCAACCCACACTATGTTTCGGCGTATCATAAAAGGATAAAACTGTATTAAATGCGCCTCTAAATTAAACAGTCTCGAAAACTACTACATATACAGTAAGCTTTGTATTCTTTTTAAGATGGACAAAAAGGCCAATAAAAAATATTATTCGGATATAAACTCAGTTTAATTTCGTCTCTTCAAAAATGCTTAGTTTGTTATCATCAACTTATTAACTCTCATGTGTTGTCGATATTAATGAAACTATATTATAAGTCAATGAAAGCCACAAGCGCATTTGACGGTGCGACATAATTTTTAATACACTCAGGAATCAATTTGATAATCGTAATGCGGATTTTATATCTGCATTCGAAACTTTATACAATATGATTTTCTCGAAACTAAGAGTGTTTGCAAAAACTGATTGATGATTTCTCAAAAAGTGATCGATCGACTTGAATTTTTTTCTACTAGAAAAATTCGCAAAGTGAAGAAACCTTTTTGATTCTAAAATCCAGTAAAAAATATACATATTTACAGTCTATTTACAATGCAGAATGGAATTATCGCGGCATCGTTAGATTAATAATTTTTGATAGTTGTAAAAATAAAAGGTCTCTTTGCAAAAATATTGAAGAACAGGCGCTTTTCGCGCTCAGAATATCGGATTAATTTCTGAATATATCGAAAATGATTTCGCGTCGTACGAATCACGCTTGCGGTTCCTATTGGCCCGCGATATAGTTCAATTCAGTGCTGATGAACCTTCTTTATTTACCTTCTTTATTGCCGCTTTTGAATCAAAGTCGGTGCACGTTGATGCAATGGAAATTACCTGTGTTGTCGGTCTCGTCGGCGGCACTGGACTTCAGTACTTGAAACAGGAAGTCGATGTACCTTGTGGCCAGTTTGAGCGTCTGGATTTTGCTCAGCTTATCGCTCGGCAACGTGGGAATGATGCTCCTGAGGGCGGCGAACGCCTCGTTGAGGGACTGCGTTCTCTGACGTTCGCGCACGTTCGCCATCGCTCTCTGGGCCTGCACTTCCTCGTTAGTCGCACCACTTTTCCGGCGCACCTTTATCTTGGTGGTAGAAGCCGACACGCTCTCACCCTCCGACTCGCCGTTGCTGTTAGTCTGATTGCTGTGGTCACTGCTGCCGTTACTGTTGTATCTCCGTTTCTTCCTGACGCTCGGCTTGTGACTGCCGTCCGCCGCTTCGTAACGCTTCGTCGTCGACGTCGACGACGACGGTTCCGTTACGGGGTGCTCCAGCGTCGTTGCCGTCGTCGTTGCCGCCGCCGCCGTCGTCGCTGTCGTTATCGCCGTGTTGCAACCGTACGCCAATTGCCCGTCCCGCGGCTTGTACTCCATCATATCCGTCTGATGGTAGGATCCCTGGACCGACTGGACGGAACCGGGTGCCGTGAGCTCGTCGCAGCAACCGGGCGAGTACACGTCCTGCGACGACGGCGTGAGAGCGCAGATACTCTGTTCATGGTCCCGGCTGTAATCCGACAGGAACTCGGAGGGCGAGGTGTTGGTCGAGTGCAGCGGCTTGAGCACGCCGTTGTTCTGATGCGAATCTATCTGCTGCTCGTAGTCGAGCTGCTGCTGATAGTCCCTCAGGAGCTTGTCGTTGGAGTGATTCTGCGTTTGGCGATGATGCTGATGGGGATGATGAAAGCCCGCGGACATCTCCTCCGGACCGTTGTAGACTAAGTGAGGGATTTGTGACACGAAACCGGCCGGGATCTGATGATGGGGATGATGACTGCCCGGCTGATGATAATCCGACAGATTCCGCTGCTGCTGCTGCTGCTGCTGCTGCTGCTGCTGCTGCTGATGCTGATGGTCCGGCGGGCTGCTGAGGTCCATCAGATGCGACGACGTGAAGCGGTCGTAATGAACCGTCTGCGAGCCGCCGTCGGAACTGCCGTTGCTGTGCACAAAGAAATTCGACATATACTGCTGTCTCTGCTGGAGCGCTACTGGTGCCGGCTGCGGCACTAACGTCGAACCTACTCCCCGCATTGTTACGCGCAGCGTAAACTTTTCGATAAACAGCAAAAACGATACAACAATCAGAATCAACACTTGGAACGACGGTTTATTATTTTTGTAACAGTAGACGATACAAATGGCCGTAATGTTCGGATCATTCAGACCACCGGATACCGAACGCCGGACTCCTGTTATTGATCGCAACATTAACTGTTTGTGCTATGTCAGTACGCACTACGCGTACGACATGGGATTTCACTGCGGAAAAAATCGATCGACCGCTTGCTAATTTTTCAGCGACGGAGCTCATGGAGATAACGGCGAAAATCTGCGAAAACCGAGGAGCGAGCGCGAGGAAGAGCGCGAGAAATCCGACGCGGAGCGTCTCTTTCGACGTTTCCGGCACTTTATCAACAACGTCGTCGTCGTCTTCGAATATTACTGTCCGAACTGCGAACCGGCAAAAGTAGAGTTCAGAACGTTCGTCGCGCAAGAAGGATGGACGGACCCCACCTCTGAGTTTGACTGGTCCACGGATGTTTGTTCCCACCCACGGATGGAGAAGGAGAAAACGATATGAGCAAGTAGATACGACCGAGTGGCGGAGAGGGAGAAGACAAACTTCTTTGCCAATCAGAGCAGAAAAGGTAAAATAATCCTTATTTGACAATAAAATAGAGTTTTTACGAAAAAGATGTAGGTATAATCGAGAAAAAAATTAATTAAATTGGAATTTAATGAAAACTAAATGCAAGCATTTTATAAATGTTTCGTATAATATTTGATTCATTTTATGATTTATTGTTATGATTTATTTTTATTTTTTGTATGTCCGCGTGTTGTGTGTTGTTTGATATTAAAAAGTAGTATTAATTACAGTTTTTTTCGCAGAAAAATAAATAATTTTTTATTTGCATTATTTGACACAATATTAAAGCAGAAATTAATTAAAAAATTAATTATCAAATTGTCAAGCGAATAAATCAAAGAATTTCTATATTTTGCCTCCGATTTTCTTTAAAGTAGATCGTTGCTTTTTTACAAAGTTCGCGAGGTAGGATTTAAAATAGTCACCACGAAATGCCGCGTCGGAAAAGTGATGTATCGACATTTTTTAAGCTCCTGCAACTCGGAAGCCGGCCGAGGATGAAAAATCAGCGATGAGAGTTACGACGCGGCCAAAAATAGGAGAACTTCACGCAGCGACGTAAAAAGTACATTCCTGAATAAAAAAACGAGGTAACAGGAGAAGCAAGAATTCAGAAAAGGTAGGGCTTTTTAAATATTGTTTTCAAACTTTGGCAAAATTTGTACCACTTTGTGCTTAAGTCGAGAAAATTAACAATTTTTTCAAAGATTGTGCAATGATGCTTGCAACTTTACAAAAATCATCTCAATCGATATTTTAACAAGGAAAAAATATGCGAATTTTGATAGTTTTTTCTTCAGCTTAATGATTGGATATCGATAATGATTGGATATAAGATTAAACCTACAGCGTGAATATTTGCAAATGGACTTATCGCTCGGGCTGACGTTCTCTCGCGCGCGAACTAAATTAATATCGCCGACGATTTTACGATGTAAATTAATGCGGGGCGCGCGATCGTTCGCTCACCCGTTTGCTCGCTTCGCGAGCACGCGTGATGGATGGCCGTGTTGGATGCACCGCAACGTGTTTGTTGTGACGGACGAAAGCTCTTTTGAGGGTGTCTATAAATTCCGCGTTTCGAATTTTCTCGCGAGCCTACCCGTTCCCCCTTTCGTCTTGCCTGTGATTTACCATTTCGTTCGACGTCACGCCACGCCTACGGAATATTTAGTCGCGAGGGTGGCTCGGAGGAGACGGTCTTTGTTCGCCGTTTTCATCTCAATCGAATCAGTCGATTAGTTCATTTCAAGCAAAATATCACGTTAATTGTGCATGTATTGTATACGTTATAGCCTGAATTCAAAATTAGAGTAAAAAAGATTTTTTAAGCACATCAAAAAGCTTCGCAAATGTCAAAAATTTCATTCTTACATTCAATCTGTGAATACTCGCGGGAAACTGATAAAGAGATCGTCGGTCAAAAGATTGGCGAACCAGTTGATTTATTCCTCATACTAGTTTTTAGCGACTTTGTTGAGCGACTCAATCGACGTTACCGCGATGATATTAGCGGATGAATATTCATCGCTCGTCGAATCTTGCTTCTCGGAATCGAGACGACCGACAGAAGCCGTACGTTGCCGTTCTGGCGACGGTCCAACCGAAAATCAGATCGCCAATAGGCAGGCCGATAAATAACATGGTCGAATACCAAAATAATACCCGACGACGATCAAAGCGGCAAAGTTCGCGAGACTTTTTGCTACACTTTTCGTAATTTCTCTAAAAATATTTGTCAAAATGAAATTATTTAATTTAAGCTTATATTTCAATTTGTACTTAATGTGTGTTTTTAATTAGATTTTTTGATAATTGAACTTTTTGCTTATTGTCGACTAATTGTTTTTTTTTTTACAACAGACTCAAATTTTTCATCGAGCTCAATTACAATTGAACTATTTGGAACAAGATATTTAGATACTTTTTACGAAAATAAACAGTCGAATAGAAAAATTCCGCGATACGACCAGCAGCTCGTCAACCTGCCGAGCTTTACAAAGTGGAACGGCAACCTTTGCCGATCTCTCTCGCGGCCACATGCGCCGCGGGCACGCGTCGTTTGACGATATTAACGCGGATGTAATTGCGTGTGCCGGCGCGCAAAGTTTAATCGCCGCGAGCAAGCATCTCGACGTTGTGCACCGTTGCAAGTTCAAACGTCCCTGTCGAACCCTCTTCTGTCCCACGACATCACGGCGTGAAGGGACAGGATGTTGTATTTTGAGAGGATACGCGCTTTTCAAGTAATAATGTCTTTGGACATTAGGTATCTGCTGTCACACGAAACATCAAAATTATTTACGATGAAAAGAATTTTTGTGTATTATTTGGAAAAGACTTTCTTCTTAAATTTACAACTATCATGCATGTAACATATTTTCCACATATGCGTATAGCATGGAAAACTAAAGTCATTGTTGCACGACGAAACACATGAAATGTATTTCGTTTTGAATCGTGAAATCAAGATCTATTCGCTAAAGTACGGCAGAAACGGCAAAGAAAAAGATGAAAAATGAATAAGACGGAAAACAGCGTTTGTAGAATACTTGCCGCTACACTTGTGATTAACTTGCTGAAGAAATTTTGCATCTGACAAAGTGTCAAAGAACTTTTCTCTTACTCGTTATAAATTTTGTGCCATATGTACTTAATTTTTCTTTTCTTTTCTACTATAATACACACTCTTTCTTACTATAATACACACCGAAACCAACTTAAGGGCATTCCGAGAATTTGATCTCTTTTGTGCTTTGTTATTGTCCGTTTAGTACGGAGTTTTGCAATATGTTCGACATATAGCTGTCTGTTCACTTGCCTCGTGAAATGAATAATGCAGCATACGGCGATCGTGTGTAACAACTTAGCTGTGATAAAGATTTCGCACTGTTGAAAAAGTATGCGGCTGTATTCGGTGATTCGTACAGTTTCCGACAAGATCGCGCTACGAGCAAATTAAATGGAATGTAGTAAAATAATCGAAGAATCTGAAAAAGATAGAAAGATAATGTAGCTAAAATATTGCCCTTTCTGTGATATTTCATAAATGTCACCTAAATCTAGAAACTTATTCTGAGCTTTTCACCGACTCGCATTTTATGATTTCAGGGTATCGCGCGAGGACCGCGCCGGATATCGCCGAATAATCGGTGCGATATTTGTGTCGCGGACGACGAGGGTGGTCCCTTCTCTCACGATTTGAGAAACTGCGTTCCCGGCACAGTGAATGTATACGACGACGGTGACGAGAGTGATGGAGATGGCGTTGACGACGAATGAATGTCGACAGAAAACTCCGACAAATTTCTTCATTTTTGCTAGCGCGAACACCATTTGAAGACGGCAAGGGAAGAAGAGGGAAGAAAAACGGCTGGCTGTCATGTATATCCGCTTATTGGTACTTACAGGTGCGACAAATTTTTCTTTACAGTATAAATTGCTAGCATGGTCGGTTGTGCAGCATTGTTCTGCGTTAACCATCACATGCATTCTCTGCGATATGAAAAAGGCCCGAAACTTTTGCACGCCACTGTACATATTGACACAATGATAAATGAATCCTTTTTGTCTTTTCCTTAGTTCTGAAAATTATCAAAATTTACTCTCAGTCATAAAACATTTTAAAGAATTATGCGTTATACTCGTAAAATTAAATATTATTTTAGTGTTAATTATTTTTTTAGTTAAATATTTTAGTGTGCTTCGTGGAAACTTTTCTTATTAAAAATTATCATTCGAGAGAGACTATTTTGAATTTAATTATATATTTTTTTAATGATATTGATTTTTTTCTACTTTATTGTATACGTAATGCGAAGAGAAAGTTTCGGCTTCTCTAATTAAATTTCTAATTTAGAGTCTTTTGGCATCAATTTATTGTTTCATATCGAACGCGCGATGCGTATTTTTCCTCATTATGAATTTTGTATGTTTTGTTCCTCCTGTTTTTGTAATTCTATAAAAAGATTCGTTAAGCCTTTCGTATTTCACGACGGAAGATTAGCGACGTTTAGATTCCGTCGTCATCCAACGCGGCCAATGTCGCACGACGAGAGCGGGCCGTATACTTTTTCTTAGTAGATCAGAAGACATGTGTTCGCCAGACGTGTTCCGAAGGTGCATGGGAATGAATTACGTTTCATTGAATCCCTGTTTTACAAGGGTGTAAATAATCTCGATTATAGAAATCTTGACGCATCAAACTCGAAGCGCCGCCAATTATACAATTATCGTGAAACATCGCTCAATAAATAACGGACTGTGCAATCTTCCGCGAACGATGATGACGCAAATTAATAAATGTTTCGAGTTTGATATATAGTTTAGAGAATGTGCCATAGATATCTATTAAACTGACAAGAAGTAAAAGACCATTTAAGCCTTTCACCATCTTTCACACGTGTATTTGTATACAAGAAAGTATAAAAAATCGAAATTTTTATAAAATTTTATCGCAACGATTTTGACTTAAATTAGACTTTACAAAATCAAAGAGATTAGAAAAAATAATATATTATTTTAATGATTATGCTAGCGTATCGCAGAGTGTTTTTAAAAGATATTGTTTTGAAAAGGATTATTTTTGCCATACTGAATATGAAAGCCACACAATAGAATTTCGAAAACCAGACAATAGAACGGAAATTAAATGACAGTTTTTGAAATGCTTCAAAAGTGCTTCTTGAAGCACTTTGTGCCTGTTTTTAAACAGCTGTTGTTTCCGTTCTATTGTGTGGCTTTTGACCGTATTCTGGTGAAAATGATCCTTTTTAAAACAATAGCTGATAATACTCATATG